TGGCTGGCGTCTGGCGCCAATCCTGATTCCAGGCGCCAGGCCTGGGGTTGGACGCCAATTTGGATTTCAACGCGTTTTTGAAATTCTGATAAATTTCCCGTACTGGAAGATAAAATAATATAATTTCAGTCAAAAATGCTATTTGATCTAATTAAAACTCTGAAGAATCCTAATTGAATTAAGAATGATAAGAACCTTCTAGAATGTTCTAGAAGACCAAAACCATTCCTAATTACATTAGGAATGATAAATCATATTAGGCCCTCCCCTAGATCATTGGGTCGTACTTAAAACTCAAACTGGGCCCAGTTTAGTAAATTGGCCATAACTTCCTCAATATTCATCGGAATTGGCTTATAATATATCGTTAGAAAGGTCTTTGCAAACCCCATCCAACTACACCACTATTGGACCCATATCATGGACCAACCAAACTGGATTGGCTGTTTTCTTAAAATAAAGTTTTCAAAAACAGAGAGAAGAGAAAAGAAATAAAACTTTCCGCAACACTAGACCTTTCCACACTTTCGTTTCATTCGATTATGATTCGACGTGAAAGGTACTCATCACTGGGTTTGGTTTTGGGGAGACACAAATGGGTGTCTACAGTTAATGTAATATAATAATGAATAATATTTAAATATATATTGTTACTAAACGAATTAGAAACTTACAATCATTACAACCCGTTTTATTTTTAAGATATTAGGTTTTTTTTCCTTTATTTTAATTTTAATTTTAATTATCAATTTATCTACTCCAAGCATTTCGTGAATAGGAAAGCTTGATGTTTGGTGCTAAAAAATGACTATTAAATTCTTATTAATATATCATCGTTATAATTCAAGGAGTTCAATTCATTGTGAATAATCCAATGCCTACCATCTGTTACTGGTTAATAGTCTAACTTAAAAATTGTTCTTCAAAAAAAAAAAATTTTGAAAAATTGAAGAACATTGAAAATAACGGATTTCAATTCACATAATATAATACGATTCAATAAACACAACTACATGATTGGGGTGAAAATATAACATTATTTATCTTCAACCCAATTTAATAATTTGAAAAATCAATACCATAAAGCTGCTACTACTGCTACTACTAATAATAATAATAATAATATAAAAAAGATCCAAATTTTGTATGAATGTTATGTTTCAAAAAAAAAAAAAAAAACCCTTTATTTCCAATTTTGAACATAACATTCATACAAATAAAAAAAATTCACAAATTTGATCTGTAACACAAAGATAAATAACAAATAATTAAAAATTATTGTATAACAAAACATTGTATGACTTTCTTTAAAAAATAAATAAAATTTTAATCAAAAAATGAAAATAATTTTTTTTAACAGAAAATCTACAAGAATATGAAGAATATAAGTAGAGAGAGAATTTAGCAAAATTGATATTCAAACCTCAAAAAAATTTTAGCCAAATAAGTGGAGAATTAGTTGTAAAACATGATAAACTACATATAAAAAAATTATAGAAAAATCTGGGAAAAAAAATTAAATTGAAAAACATGAAGAACAAGAAGAATATTAGAAGAAAGAGAGAGAAGAGAGGAAAATTAGATAAAATAACATCAACCGAAAAAATGAGAAGAGAGAGAATGAGATAGTCGGGAAGTGGGTGCATTAATTATGTATAGAAAATACAAATCAGATTTGAATTTTGATTTGAAAATTTGGTTTGAATTTTAAATGAATTATTAAAATTTAATATTTTTAGGCCCAAGATAAATACCAATCAAGCAATGTCATGTCAGAGTTTATACATGGTCTAGTGTAGTCTTTACCAATAAATTGGGAGCAAGTAGTCCCTTAATTTATAGGAAAAATGAAAATAAATAATCCCACCTTTGCCCGAACTGAAAATAACAAACCCACCTTTTGATATTTACGAGGCAAACCCACCTTTGTATGTTATCTTCTTTTAATGAAGCTTTTTTTTTTTACCTATAACCTGTTAAACAAGTTAAAATGTTTTTTTATAATTTTGAAAGCCACGTGTCGCTCGATAATTGGTCCAAATAAAACAAGTTAAAGACAAAAAAAAAAAAAAAAAACACCACCCACCAGCAACCCCCAAGCCACCGCGAAACCCTAACCTTGCCCTATCCCCAGCAAAAACCGGCTGGCCGCCACCCTAAACCCCCGAAAATTGCCAGTCGGGATCCCCTTATACCAAAGCCACCCCCGAATTCACCCTTGACTTACATCCTATCCCCGAAAGGCCGAAACCACCATAAACCACCACAACCGCCGCCCTTAAAACCATCACATCCGCCGAAAACCCCTCTCTAACCGCTGATAACCCCTAAAACCTCCATACCAGCACCGAAAAACACCACCCAACCTCCCTAACCACCCCGAAAGACGCCACCTTAACTCCCTAACCACCCCAAAATCTCTCATTAACACCCTAAAAACCACCAAAACCCGCAAAGGTCCTCAGTTTCCCTAGTGGACAGGTGAAGGCCGACTGTTTTCAAAGGTTAAGGAGGGAGGTCAGCCGGTTTTGGTGGTGGATGGGGTAAAGTCTAGGGTTTCACGGTGGCCGGGGTTTTTTCTTTTTCCTTTTTTGTTTTGTATTTAAAAAAAAAATGAAATGCACCAATTAACACGTGACATACAACCTACTAAACTCGGTCACCAACAAGTCAAGGTTCATTAAAAGAAAATGACATACAAATGTGGGTTTGTCTTGTAAATATCAAAAGGTGGGTTTGTTATTTTCAGTTCGGGCAAAGGTGGGATTATTTATTTCCATTTTTCCTTATTTTTATTTTAGTGCCTAATTTGATTAGCACGCTTGGCAATGCACAACTATGACTAATTTTTATTTTTAATTACCAATAATTATATAAACTATAATCCCTCTGTTTCACAATGATATTTTTGTTGGAATCTTATAACTTTTAAAAATAATAAATAATCTTCTAAATTTCTATTAATATAGAAGAACAAATAAAATCATAAGGTTCCTGATTTGATTCGTTTTGGTGAGAACATTATTAGTACTACCTCCATTTCTAAAAGTTCAACTTAATATTCAAGGGGTTAAAGGAAAAATACACTTTAATAATCTTAACTTTACCTAATTTAGTTTAGATAATCTCAACTTTTGATTATTCTACAATAATCCCCACTTTCACCTGCGGTTTTTTTTTTCCTACAATACCAAACCGGTCAACGAAAGTGAAAAGCCTATTACTCTAGGTAACTTGACACGTGTCAAGTTACCTAGAGTAAGAGGTCAAGTTGTAATTGGTTAAAAAAAAATAAAGAAAAATTCAAAAAAAAAAGGGAAAATTTTATAAAAAAAAAAAACAACCAAGCCATCACGGGCCCGCAACCGCTGGCGATGGCCACTCACCCCAAACCACCATCTTCGTAGCCCCAGCCCCCAAAACCTCCCCAAAAATCACCCTACCCCCGTGAAACCGGTCCATTCTGCTTTCCCCTACCCCCTCGAACTAGTCATAGCCAAAACCCTCGCCTTGAAACCGTCAACCATAAAACCCAAAACCACATAACCAAAGCCCACGACCTTGAAATCGCTACCCATAATCCCTGAAACCACCCGTAACACTAACCTCGACTCTCGAAATCACTTCTCCAACCCCCAAAACCACCAAAAATGCAGCCTCGACCCTCACTTTATATCTCCTCCAATTGTCGGAGAACGCAAACAAACGGAGTGAGGAGAGGGATTTCGGTGCAGGGAGGGAGGTCGAAAAATTGGGGTTAGGGGATCGAAGACGTCGGTTTTGGAGTAGAGTTTGCCGGTAAGGAAGGACAACCACCAGTATTTGGTTGCTGGTGGTCTTTGGTTTTTTTTTTTTAATTTTAATTTATTTATTTTTATTTTGGTGAACCAACTAGCATGCAACATGTGTCAAATAAATGGTTTAAAAAAAATCAACCCTTTCTTCAAGTAACCTCTAATCCGGGTTGTAGAAAGAAACCGCAAGTGAAAGTTGAGATTATTGTTGAATAGTCGAAAGTTGAGATTATTTAAAGTAAATTGGGCGAAGTTGAAATTTTTAAATGTGTTTTTCCTAAAATAAAATAACTTTGACCACATTTAGTAACTTATACAATATAAATAAATTAGCATATGGGATCTTGTTAGATTCCCCTTATTATTAAATTTTCAAATATCATTTTTTTTCCCTTATACATAGCCGAAGATATTCATGGTCAAAGATGTTTATTTGAGATCGCGCAAATACAAAGTGAGTCGAACTTGGGTTCCGAATCCTCTATCCCACTCATATGTCCCATTCCATGTCCCATTCGTTTTGATTGGTCCACGTCACTTTAAATATCAATATTAATATTAAAAAAATTTAATAGCAAATTAAATTAAATAAATTTTACATAATTTATATTTTAGTCCTTATCTTTTTTTTTCTCCTTTACACAATTACGTTTAATTCAATTGCATCATTTTTTTCCTGTATACTACCTCTATAACTCTAGAAGAACCCTAATTTTTTTTAAAGTTACCTCAATTTATTCTTTCTCTAATTGCATCCATAAATACTAAAGCACTAAAATTTACTTTAATGGATACTCACGAGAAGTATTGACAAGCGATTTCGACAATTTACCATACGAGGTATGATTCTTATTGAATTACGTATCTATGAAATACTATATGCATATGTTTTGTTTGTTTTTGGTCATTAGGGTAGCTATTAGAGCGCATATTGATAATTACTATTAGTATAAGCCATAGCATTGTCAAAATTATACTGCGTATATAGTTGTTTAGGTTTTGGATGATTGTATTTTTATTGATTTTTATATACGATTTTTGGTGGTACAGAATTATCATTTTGATAAAGAAATTGGGTCATTACAAACTAGTCGTAGATTATCTTTTGAGGAGCATAAGCAATTGAATGATAATGATGATATGGTCAATAACTCTAAAAATAACTTTGAAGAAAATAAAGTTTAAGAAGATAATTTTCTGCCAAATATGAATGAAATTCACTCAAAGCTGCCCAATGAGGCCATTCCAATGATAGGGATGGAGTTTGCAACAGAGAATATAGCTTATGATTTCTACAACAGATATTCTAGAGCTATTGGATTCGGAATTCGGTTAAGTAAATTTCATAGAGATGACAACACTGTTACTATTCTAGATAGGATCATTTGTTGTTCTTTTGAAGGTTCAAGGGGAAAAGATAAAAGGGCCCCTTATGTGAAGAAACATCGAGCTTTGACACGAGTTGGATGCTCTGCAATGATAAAATTAAGCTCCCGAATTAATGGACGATTTCGTATCATTAAATTTGAACCACAACACAATCATGTTCTGTCAACACCATCAAAGACTCATCTATTTCGTTCACATAGAAGTATCAACTCATCTCAAGCTAGTGAACTTGATATGGCATGCTCTTCTGGCATTGCACCAAAAGCAAGTATGGAGTTGATGAGTAGAAGGGCTGGTGGGAGAGATAATCTTGGTTTTCTGCTTGTAGATTGTAATAATTATTTGAGGAAGAAAAGAGAGAAAGAAATGAAAGTTGGAGATACCGGCGGGGTTTTAGAGTACTTGAAACGCAAGCAAACTGATGATCCAAAGTTTTTTTATGCCATACAAGTTGATGTGGATGATCTCATCACAAATATTTTTTGGCCTGATGCAAGAATGATGGCTGACTATGACTATTTTGGTGATGTAGTATGTTTTGATACTACTTACAAAAAACATAAAGATGGTCGTCCATTTGCTATGTTTGTTGGAGTTAATCATCATAAACAAACCATTATTTTTGGGGCAGCTTTATTGTATGATGAGACAACAGAAACTTTCAATTGGCTATTTGACACATTTGTGAAGGCAATGCATGGAAAGAAGCCTAAAACTATTCTGACCGATCAAGATCAAGCAATGGCAAATGCATTATCTACAAAATGGCCGGATACTTATCATCGACTATGTGTCTGGCACATGTACCAGAATGCTGCAAAACATCTTCACCATGTATTTGAGAAATTTAAGGATTTTGCTAAAGATTTTAGTAGTTGTGTTTATGATTATGATGATGAAGCAAATTTTATAGATGCTTGGGACAATATGTTAGTTAAATACGATCTGGTTGGCAATAGTTGGTTGGAACGGGTGTATAATTTGAGAGAGAAGTGGGCACTAGTTTATGGGAGACAGACATTCTGTGGTGATATGAGTACAACACAACGTAGCGAAAGTATGAATGCTCAATTACGGAGGTATAGTAGCAATAAAAATCACTTATGTCAGTTTTTTTGAGCATTTTGAGCGTCTTCTCAATGATAGGCGTTATGAAGAAAGTGTGGCAAATTTCAAGACTAAACATAGTTCTCCAGCTTTACCATATCCAGTTCGAATTTTAAAACATGCATCAACTATCTACACTGCCGAAGTGTTTGAGTTATTCCAATGTCAAATTTGGAAAGCATGGGATTGTATATAGATGAAGAGGAGTTTGTTGGCACAACTTATAGGTATAAAGTTTATCCTCCAAGGAAAAAGATTGATCATTTTGTTACATATAACCCAGAAAATGATACTATTTCATGTAGCTGTAGAAAATTTGAGTTTGTAGGGATACTTTGTTCACATGCATTGAAGGTTCTTTGTTCAAAAAATATTCACAAGATTCCAAACCAATATATTCTACAAAGATGGAAAAAGGATGCGAAAGTTGAAATTTGTCAACAACATAAGCTGTCTACTCGACAAGTAGATGAAAAAATATGTTCGAGGATACGATTTCAAGAATTGGGTAAATTATTTACCCACTTTGCAGGAGTTGCAGCTCAAAGTGAAGATACTTACAAATGGGCTTTAGATGTACACCAAAAGTCATTAGCGGAAGTAGAAGCACGTCTAAAGAAATTGATATGTGGAGAAGAGGATGATAATGAGGAAGAGAGTTTAGATTGTGAAGAAAATGTTAATGTAGAGCTGCAATGTGATACCTCAACAGTGAAAGGAATAAAAATGAGAGGCAGTAGTCATGGGAGTAGGGGGCGTGGAAGAGGTAATGGCTCCAATAATGGTTCTACTCGTTGCAAGAGTTCCTTAGAAAAAGGTCGTACTCGCAAAAAACATTGCACAAACGATCAGGTATTTGGATTATACATATAGTCTTACAATTACTACCTGCAATATTTTTTTCTTATTGATAATTACTAATATTCAAGCTAATGTATATATAACAGGTCAGCAAAACAACTTTTTCAGAAATGAATTATACTCCTACTTCTGAGAGGCAAATGGATTATAGCATCCCATTGTCAAATAATTACCCTATAACACATTTCAGTTATACTACTCCTTTCTTCTACGAAGATGTTGATAGTGTTGACCTTGGCTCAGGAAGTTTAACTCAACTACTAAATGTAAGTTTACATATCCTTGTAGTACTATATCTGTTGTGGACTTAATAGAAGAACTCATACAAGCATTTCTTAATAGGGACAAATGTCAACAATTGGAGCCCCACAAACATATAATGATCAAGAAGACCGACACCTTTTTTAGAGGTATATGACATACTTTTTTTTGAACCAAAGTATATGACATACTTGTAAAATTTGATAATACTTTAAATAATTTTTTATATTTTAATAGTTGGTTGGCTTGATACTTTGTAACTTTTATCTCTTGTTGGCATGTTGCAGGATGATGAATCACACGTTCCATGACTAGAGGGATAGATCTTATGGAAATTATGGCCTAGTTTATTCTTCGGAAAATTTGTTAATTACTACCTCAAAAAAGGGGTATTTGTGAATTACTACCCCTAAAAAAAAGTTGTTAATTACTACTCTAAAACTGATGAATTCTATAGATTGCTACCCTTTTCCCTAATCAGCCCCTAATTAGGTGATTAATCTATTAATGATATCATTATCCGGCTAATTTATAATTAGTTGTTTTTTAACCTTAAATAATTAATTAAACCCTAGAACCACCTCCATACCACCATTGCACCACCTCCGGCCACCCACCACCCACTACCGAACCTACCTCCTCCAACCCCACCCTAAAACCACCATCTGCCCACCCTAAAACCACCTTCCATTTACGATACCCCCATCCCCTACCGCGGCGGCCTTGACCCCCTACCCCTCGCCGGAAAACCTTGCACAACCATCCCTAATCTTCCTTTATCCCCTTCCCCCCTAATCACCACCCTAGGGTTTCAATTTTAGGGCTTTAGGGTTTTAATTTTGGAACATTAGGGTGGTGGTTAAAGGGGGGAGGGGGATGGAGGAGGCTTAGGGAGGGCCTAATAGGGTTCTCTGGAAAGGGGGAGGGGGCTAGGGTCGCCGGTGGGTGGGGAGGAGGGATTGTTGGGGGGTTTAGAGATGGTGCAATAGGTGGTTTAGAGGTGGGCGGGGCGGGGGTAGGCTACCAGAGATGGTGGGGATAAAGTAAGGGGGCTGTCGGAGGCGGTGCAATGGTGGTTTAGAGGTGGTGTTAGGTTTTATTTAATTAATCATGCCTTAAAAGTAACTAATTACAAATTAGTCGGATAATGGTATCATTAGTAGATTAAATCACCTAATTAGGGGCTGATTAGGGAAAAGGGTAGCAATCTATAGAATTCATCAGTTTTAAGGTAGTAATTAACAACATTTTTTTTAGGGGTAGTAATTCATAAAGACCCCTTTTTTGAGGTAGTAATTAACAAATAATCCTTATTCTTCTGTGCTCACATCTTTTCAACAACTAAGCTAATCTAGTTCTCATTTTATTTTTGTGTGTATGTTTTCTGCATTTTCAATTTCTTAAAGGTTTAGAATTTACAATGAAGTTGTATCTTTACTCAATTATGAATTTTTATAATAATGATTGATATGCTCGGATTGTTTTATCATGTCTATCAAGGATTTTTCTAGAGTTATAGAGGTAGTATACATGAAAAAAATGATGCGATTGAATTAAACGTAATTGTGTAAAGGAGAAACAAAAAAAAAAGATAAGGACTAAAATATAAATTATGTAAAATTTATTTAATTTAATTTGCTATTAATTTTTTTTAATATTAATATTGATATTTAAAGTGACGTGGACCAATCAAAACGAATGGGACATGGAATGTGACATATGAGTGGGAAAGAGGATTCGGACCCGTCGAACTTTAGGAACGGATGAAGTATATAAATTTTCTAATTTTTGCTAGTGTGAGATTAAGGATATTTATGGTCAAGAATTTACAAAAACTTGTATCGATTTACGTAAATAGGAATAGGAACAATATTCTGGAACGAAAGGAGTAAATAGTTGATATTTGAAAATTATGCTTTTGAGACAGCTTTAATTTTTCTAACAAGTACTCATTGATTATATTTTATCTTATGTATAAAGCACAAAATATTAATCAAAACGGTGTATGTAAATAGTGTTTAAGTCAAAATGAGACACTTAAATTAAAACGGAGAATAAGAATATAGACACAAAAAAAACGTAGAGAGCAAGTACTAAAATACAGGAAGTACGTACTCCGTAATAAATAATTTCGGAGTACTGAAAAAATATAAATTGTACATTGAGTCATTGACAAGCAGGTGATGCGCTCATGTCAACTTTTTACCACTGTAATGTTTGGTCGATAAAAAGGGGTGAAAGTGGAGTCTCTTTCCTACAAATTTTTTACAGGTTTGAGTAGTTCTAGATTTAGACTAGTCAATACACAAAACTCCAAGTCTTCAACGGTCAGAGTTGCATGAAATTTTAGAGGCTGGAGCTGAATAATGTGGGCCGCATGGGTCAGGCCAACCCTTGGGCCACTTAAGGCCAGGTTCTGCCTCAATGAGCAAGTCACGAGAGGTTTGCTGGTGCCCAAAATTGACACAAGCATGTTAGCGAGTGTAAGATAAATTTAGACACGTAAAAATAAATTTATATACTCCATCCATTATATATTGTTCCAAAGTCGTGTTACCATTAATCAAAAATAGAGGTAATAAAAGGTATTCCGTATTTGGTGAATGTAAGAAAAATAAAATGTACTCTCTTTGTTTTTTTTATTTAAAAACCTGTTCACTTTACTCTATTTTTCTCAAATTAAAATTGTTTTTATCGAATCGAATAAAAAATGTACTAAACTAAAAAGAAGTGATGCATCAATTTGAAACTTTCCCAAAAGAAAAATGATACACCTAAAAAAACGAATTAAGTAATTGTTTGTTAGTCGAAAGTATTAAATTCTACTTAGTATAATTGAAAATGTACAATTAAATAAACACATCAATATTTTACATACTAGCATTTGTCGCTTTTAGTACTAGCCCTTATACCAAATTTTTTGGTTCATAAGAAAAGTCCCTATTAGAAAAATAGATAGTTAAAGTGGGGTGTGTGAATACTGTAAAAATCAAAAAGATAAGAGTGATATGGAATAATTGGAGTTTATGGTGATTGTTTGTTTGCTCCTCATTTTAATTTATTTTCCTAGCACGAGCCTATATGAAATTTTTTGCAGTAATCATTTGAAATATAACTACCATAAGTTTTAATGATTATATAGTTCATATTACATTTTTTTTTCCAAGTAATTAATTATATTACTTTATTTTTGGTATAAAATAATATTATCAAGATTTTTTTATTTATCAAATTTTTAGTTTCATTAGTGTAATTTTTGTTCTTATTTTATAGTTTCTCGAAAAATATTTATTTAATGTTGTAATAAAATTTTTCAAAAATTATATTTGCATTGTATATATTAGAAGACTAATTATGATCATTTTATAACGTGAAAAAATGAACCAATCATATTGTATATCATTTAAATAGTATGCTAGTCATTTTTCTAACAACCGCTGTAATAACATTCCAACCCTGTTAATTACTCTATACAAGAATATAAAGACCTTTTGATCTTCAACTCGTTTGGTGAAATGAATCTTGGATGAAGACTTAAGGCAATTGTTGCTTTTCAATTTGACTTCAGTAGTTCAGTGTAGGTTGAGGAGCATAATAACCTTTGAAACACACAAGTGTTGTGAGTCAAGGGTTATTATTATGTTAATTGATGAGAGTTAGGGTCAATCGTTTACTCGTCACGCAAATTAGCAAAGTTGTTGATTCAATATATTATATGAGTATAATCTTTGTTAATCTTTTAAAGAGAAGGGAGTAAGAGAGGAAAGGGCTGAACAGGAGGGGTAGAGTCCAGTAGTCACAGTAGTGTCAAGGGAGAAGAAAGAGAGGGAGGGTCAAGGAAAGAGAAGAGGGGTAGAGGCATTATTTTCATCATCTACTATTTGTGTGCATCCAACACTTATCCAATATCATAGGGCAAGGGAGTGAGCCATTAGTCAGAAAGGTATATGTCAGAAGCAACCGAGCCAACTCTACTCCATATGAGAGTATCTGTAGGAGGGAAAACAGAGAAACAGAATGGACTGAAGTATTGAAGAAACATACCCTGCCCCCATAACATCTAAACGCTGGCCCGGACAAGCTGGGCAGATTTTTTTTGCATGTGTTTAAATCTATGCAACCATGAGCACCTTCAAAGTAGCATTCCCTAACCATCAACTCTAGCCCTGAGCTGGTTTAGCCCATCCCAGGCCTATCTCTATCTCGAATGGAACCACAGAGAAATGAGAACACAAATATAACTGGTATGAAAATCCCCTAACATGTTCACCTCTTTACAATATGATCAAATATCTTGTTCTTGAAAGACTGCAGTTGAAAAAAATAATAATAATAAAAAAAAACCCTAAAGTACAAGCTAATTCCTATACTTTGAGACAATTTTTTTACAAAAACGGTCTTAATGTAATCATTGTGGATTGTAAACCAAGCAACCAACCAAACAGGGAAAAATTTCACGTAACTTACTCCAAATAAGAGAAATAAAAGGAGGAATGAAAAGAATGGAGGGCTTAAGATAAATAGCTACGAGGGCATTACAAACTCAATTCCAAGGATCATCCCAACCTTTTGGTATTTCTCTTTTAATGAAGTCTATAATGGCCTGGACAGCTTCTTCCACCCTGTTGGACAAGGAGTGGTTACCAAGGTCAATTTCAGCCTTCTCTGCTCCGCCAAGCGCTCTACATAATCTGGAAACAGAAATGTTAAGTATTTCAGCTTTGATTCTCAGAGAAATTCTAGACATGCAATTATTGAACAAATTTATACACATACAATTACTGAACAAGTTTATAGTAGATATAGGCTGAAAACTAAAGGTTACCCTTCTACATACCTTTCTACAAGTGCTTTTTTGTCCACATAATCGGGCACATATTCATCACCCATAGAGTAGATGACCTGCAAGTATGGGTTGTCTAATCAGAACAATTAAAAACACTACGACCTTCTGAAAGCAACTACTAATAACCCATGCAATATACTGCTTTCAATGCTCAACAAGCACTTCAATGATACATAATTCTCAAACCTTATAACAGATATCTATATGTAAAAATATGTGTGCTAAAAATGCACCATGCAAGGCCTGATTGGCTGATTGCAATCCTTTAGAGAGCATTGACCTGATGGCCCTTTGAAAAGATGAAACCGGAAATTACCCTCAATAAAAGAAAGCTCATTGCAGATAATTAACAAGAAATAATACGCTAAATGAGATAGCTACCTGACAAGGTATATTGCACATGTGACCCAGTCTCATTTTTAATTGATCTTCACTGAGGTCAGAACTGAACATATCATCATCACCCATATATGCACACAGGGAATGATACCTGCCAAAGATCAAATCCAGTTAAAGAGCAATTACGCAAGATGTGAACAGAGTCATATAACCTACATACAAATCTGATTGCATTTACCTCTAGCAAACATGATTTAAAAATGAGTCTCCTATGAAGCCCAAGTTGCCAACAATTTGAAGTCTTTGGACTCTGACTTAAGGAAAATATAGATCCCCACAAATGTAGTAGACTGAATTTGAGATCACTAATTTGACTACCCCAAGAAAATGGAAGAAGAAATGGGCAAAAGTACATAGTTGCAACAAACAACAAAACAAATTCAAAGCCTTTGTTCCTAAAAGCATGGGGTTGGTTTCATGAAACAGATATCTCATGTGATCATATAAAGATTCTTTGCTTCATCGCTTCTATCTAGTGCTAGTCTACATGCCCCATCAAACCCATTTTCTTCATGTCATTTTTTATTCCATATAGTCATCTTTGGCCGCTTGACAACCGCCCTTTGCTATGCCGAGTCATGCCTTCTTCGAATGACACTTATTCACTTAACCTTGTGCCTCTGCTTGCACTAGCAAGCACGCCTCCAAGTGCCAAGTAGTGCCCTTCAAATGAACTAAGCATGGTCCCTCGGTGCGTGCCTAGCCCAAAGGTTATGGTTATATGTAGGCAAGTGAACACACAAGCTTAATCACAGATGCTTAGAGTGACCAATCACTTGGCAGGCGTGCCTTGGTTTCCTTACACACTCCAAGTGTAAGAAGAGGAAGGTTGAGTTGGAAAAGAGCATGTGTTTTAGAAATGCTTTACTGGTATTGAACTCTCATTTTGAATGTATAAATGATTGTAGGCTCCTATTTATAGACTGCCATCCTACTTAACTATTCTAGAATATTCCCTAATTTCCTCAACTAAAGGGTTCTAGACCAAAGTTACAAGAAATGTGGTACGGACCCTGCCTCGTGAACTATAATTGTACGTTCTGAATGGTGATAAATCACGACTGATCTAACTAAACAAGTCTTTGACTCAAACCACAGAAGAATTTTAGCTTGTTGGAGAGAAGTCTGTAGACTTTGTTTGATTCATTGCTACTTAGAAGAGAGGGAGAAAGGGGAAAAGGGGGGAGAGAAAGCATTGAAACCGAGTTTCCTCACTTTTTTTCCTTTTTCTTTTTCCTTTATCTTTTTTCCTTTTCTTTTTTTTTTCCAGTTTATTCCAAGGCGTACCCGATTTTCCATGGTTAGTGTTACATGTTTCTCAAATTGTAACATGAATTGTATCATGTACGATGTAACCTTGTTCTAGACACTTACTCCCTATAAAAATTCTACTTGCATAATGCATATGTACATCTTTAGACCACCCTAGCGCATTCTAGAATTAACCACGCCGGAGAACTCCTCCAAGATGCCTCAGAACCACCAAACTACTTGTTGCGCCAAGTATACTTTCAAGACCTTATCTCAGAAATGCATCTTGAACATCATCTCCATTAGGATGAAATAATATGGACCCCCCAAGTTTCTGCTCAATCCGAACCCATTTAGGCCCCCACATGGCTCAATATTATGTTAATGCAGCTAGGGTTTTCGCCGGGCATGCTTTCTTTTCCAAAATAGGGAGAAGGTTGCTCCTCCCCTGTTTCCCAGCGACCCAACCATTGCATCTGATGTTGCAAGAGACGACCCATAACACTAGGTTTTTTTTTTTTTAATCCCCATATCCTAACCCTCTACCTTCTTTACCAATGTACCTTCCACTCAATGTCTCACATACCCAAACCAATGTAGTTGATTCCCCTTTATATCATCCTCATTATCCACAACTTCAACATTTCTCCTAATATAAAAAATTTCTAATTCTATATCTCAAGGTAACCCTACACATCCATCTAAATATACACATAACACACTTTATGCTACACCCATCTTTTATACATGTTCCTTTTTAAATACTAGTACTTTATCCAAATCATAACTCCAGTCTAATTGCCTTCAGACAAAATTTTCCCTTTGATTTGAGGCACGCTGCAAACATACAATAACCCAAGGTACTATGTTGGATTTCCAAAAATACGCATAATACCAACTTAGAAGTGATTGATTGATCGACAATGGAGAGTAGCCAATTAATGAGTACTATTTTATTGAAAAACAGAGTACCTGTCTTGGTAAAAAGATTTAGAGTAACTCGTGGAGTCAACAATTTACTAACTCTTAAGCTAGAAAAGTGGAAATCAGTGGAAAGGACATTTATATAATTCTTTGAATTGGCTACATTGAAATAATTGAAGAATTGCCTCAAGAGAACACTTGCCTAGGAACATATGACAAAGGAAAAATCAGCACGAGTTGTTGATTTCAGAAGCCCAAAATTATTTACTTCGAAGGGTTAGCAATTACCGCACAGAAGATTTCAATAAACAATGATTTTTTCTGTTAGTTGTTCAATTTCCAGAGGTCATACATCTTTATCACTGTACTACTAAACACTTCAAAATTTCTTGACACACATTGTCTGAAATTAATTTATGCTGCAGAGAACCTAAGAAAGAAATTTCTTGTCAAAATAATAACTATGAAACCAAGTAATTAACTCAAAATGTTAGATATGTCTACACTCTACAAACTACGTATTTCCAGGTAGTGTGTGTTCTCAATCTTCTCATCAAAAAAGGGAAAAGAAAAGACCTGAAAAGTTCAGATATTCTTACTATATTAAGTTGCATTACAATGATATGATTTGGACAAGAAATGTGAATACTGTCGCTCTTAATATCTAAAAGGCACAGTGGGTATCAAATTTCAACATTAAAAACTAAAAAATATAGGACTTCAATGAAAGGGATGCAAGAATAACATTATAAACACACACACACACACAAAAAAAAAAAAAAAAAAAAAAATTGATTAGTAATCATGAGATGCACAGAGGCATAGATCACTCACCTATAGGCAGTTATAGGAGCATCTGAATTTGCTTCCCTGGGCATAAGATCAGATCCTTTTCCTTCACTAATCATTTTTGAAGCTAAGTCAATCATGGTTGCTGTTTCAGGAAGCGTTGCTCGGTATTCACGGTCACTAACTGGAGCCTAATTATGTATCAAGACCAAGAAACATATTACAATTTATCCATGCATTGATGCATCAAATAGCCTGGCCGTTGGCAGATCCATGCTAATAGTCAGATGTTAAAACCAAAACATTTAAAACAAGACTAATTTAGTGTTTTTTTTTTTTGGTTCTGTCTTGAAATTACAGGAACATGCATTTTTACAAACAGAATACAAAAGGCCATTGACCAATTCAAATGTGTATAGTTTTTTTATTTTTTATTTTTTATTTAACATATAAAAGACGATATATTAATTACTTAAAACGTTTTACAACAAACAACCTCAAACCGCAAACAAAATTAGAGGTTGAGAAATAATTAGTGCATTTGACCTCAAAAATAAAACAAAATTAGAGGTCACCAACCAAAGATTACATAAAGTGCCCTTCCGAAAAGCTTTAAAACACAAACATAACAGAAACTTAGTACTAAGAGATTGATGGGCAGTAGCTAGATCAAGTTTCACGCATAGCAGCAATAGCGGCCTGCTCTTCATCATAGATGGGCTTGATCTTCTCAGGGCATACCGTATGTAGAGTATGAACAATACTCATTTCAAATGTGTATAGTGTTCATATTGTTCACATCTACTTTTCCAATAAAATTGGTAAGTGTCATGATAACATTGATAAGTGTAAAAACTAATGTGAGACAAAGAGAGTAATATAGAGAATGATTACATTTCAAATGTACAGATACATTTTTAATAAATTGAGTTCAAAGAATAGGAGGATGTTGGATAAAAATCAAATCTTTATCATTTCAATTGGGAATTTTAGGATGCTCCAAATCATTGGAACATCACATGATTACTTAACATTTTCACACATCAATAACTTATAAATATGATTTTTTCAATCCTCAACTTGAAATTAATTCAATGGTCCAATCCCACCTTTTTTTTTTCCAGCATTAACAGAATGACAGCCACTGTTGAATTAGTAAATTAACTTCGAATGAAAATTTATACAAGTATAAAATTATGCTACAAATCCAATGCCTACCATATGATATAATATGGTAAAACTAAATTTAGTGACGAAAAGCTAAATACGTATTCACTAGTAATAATCAAGCACACTCATAAATGTATAGAGAGATCCAGAAAAAGGTTACAAAAGAGGCCCATATATTACTGTTATGGTATATTGTGTATGAACAATCTCTTTAGTCTGTACTGCATCAGGTCATTCAGTAGTGAGCTTTTTATATTGTGGATTGGTATATAGGTAATTTTTGTGATTGTCATTGGAAATTAATAACATGGTTTTCCGAGTAAGAATTCCCGCCAGGTCACTTTCCAAAATACAATTGCTTTCTTGGGCTCTCTTGAGTCTCATAAGTCAGGGGCTTTTATGTGCAATATTCAGTGTGTGATTGGCACATTCTTTGGATTTTTTCTTCAAAGTTAGTATAGGATCTTATATTACACAAGTACACACTTATATTTTCAAAAATGTTTTATCCTATATGATAAATAGGGAATATTAGGCTGCAGATTACTATGCACTAGTTATAACAACATAGCCTCATAAATATTGGATATACCTGCAAAATGGCGGAACGGACAGCTCTGGAACATGCTGCATTTGTGCGCATATAATGCACAATGTCCTACACAAACATTCTGATAGAATTTTAGCTGATGCCATACTTAATGAAATACATACCTACTCCAAGAAAGAAAGAGAAGAATAGCCTAGCCATAGAGTCATTTTTTTCTTCTACCATCAAATATTTTAGGCTTTTTGGGGCATAGGGAATGTAATAGGGTGACAAAATCACAAGTTACCTGACATCCAGTACTGTGACCAAGTAGCACCACACCATCGGAATTTTCCTTGTTTATTAAGTAACTGATTAATTGATCAAGCTCCATAGCATCCTTCAGAGCAAAATTAAGAGTTATAAGATGAGCAAACATATCATAGATACAGCTAGACTCATTGTCATAGGAACCTGAACTCATAGGACAGATTAACAATGAACCAGCCAGCAGCAACATTATGAGAAAATAACTCACGGTGAATTAGCTACTATTAATTATCATAGTCCCCCAATTGTTCTTCCTCTGCTCTAATCCTCTTTCTAAATGAATGGGGTGTGATTAAGGATAGAGGAAAGAATAAGCTTCTACATGTATGACTTCAAGTATACAATAGGGTCACGCATAACTTGTATATAATTCAATACATACTTGATAATAATTTTTCACCAACCCTGTAATTTTTAATAAATAAAAAGAGAATTTTTTAATCAATACCATCGTTCAAAACCCCGTTCCCGGGGCAGCTTTTCAAATGAGTCCTTTTTCAGAAAATCTAGTATTAGTGTATTGCTCTATATTAATGAAGGAGCACAGCAAAGGGGAGAGGCAACAAGAAGTTATAATGTCATTCCCATCATAAGATAGCAGGACAAATCACACATATACTTTACCTAATAAGATTCATGGGTGCATGAAATGTAAGTAGAAATGTTTCTTGTTTCACCCAACTACTCAAGAATTGTGCTTCTCAAACTATTTTCTGATATTAAATGGAAATCCAACAAGCCCAAAATCCAACCTTTATAAAACATGCTACAGTTTGGGAAGCTAAAGATTCACAAATACAATAGTCACATACTTGCTCAAGACTTGAAAGTCCATATGCAGTGTAAGAAGACGAAAGGAGTATCTGAACCAATGACCATTTTTCATGCTCCAAAGCAATTGCTAAGGGCTCCAAGTACCTGGATAATATTAAAACCATAATGGCAATGACTATACATTAGAATCAGCATCCATTGCATTATATACTATACAAACTATCTGCAGAAGAACCAACAGAACCCCAAAGTTCACATGAAATTAGTCGTCAATCACAACACAATCCTTTTTCCTACCACAACCTTTACCCCAAGAAAAGAAAGGAACGAGATTATAAGAATTCATGTATGTCCAAAAAGTTGTCCTTTGGTATAGTAAGAGTGGTTCGCACATTGTTTCAATCAAAGTAAAGCACAGCCAGCTTCTTGGTACAAAAATGGACATCAAAGAACAAAGATATCCTAGCCAAGAGATTACATTTTCACATGAAATGTACTGCTGGCAAGTAGGCTATTCATACAACTCTCCATTCAAGAAAAATAGAAAGTAAAATAACATTTTGGGAAAGATTTTAAGTGTAAATAATATGTCTAATTCCAATTTACAGTAATTGGAACCATGCAGAAACATCCTATGTTCGTTTTAACTCTAGCCCATTTTTCTATCAGTTCTGTGCTTGTAAAATATGGTCTTATGGTCATTTCCTTTCAGCTTTAAGCCTCTGCTGCAGCTGATTCTTAGACATATAATCTTGTTACAACTCATAATTGACTGACCCCTCCCATTAGCAATTACTTGTTGAGCACTTTTGCTTATTCAATGTTTTCGTAAACCATTAAAAGGTGTCTCATTCTTGTATCCCTTGATGTATTTGTCTCTCTTGTAAGGTGTGACACAATTTCCCTCTTACATTTTTCGGAGTTCCTTTAGGAGATTATCCTAGGAAGTTCTTTCGCTTAAATCTAGAGCATGAGATTATTAGCAGTATGTGACTTTCTTTTTATTTCCCTAATTTACTTTCTTCAATTTGCAATCTATGGTTACTGCAAACTTTATTTTGTGCAAAATGGTACACAGACAGTCAAATATACCATCTGGAGAGTTCATACCAGTTCATCATACAATAGGGAAATCAGATAATTAAGAAAATATGGTTGTGAGATACAGGCAGATGAGCCAGAACTTGCTAAAACTATACCAGCAGCAATTTAGGCTTCAGACTTCACAATGCATATATTAGGATAAACATTCAAAACTAAAGAAATAAATTCCTCTTGGTTGAGATGACAAATTATTGGGTCGATAAATAAAAAGAGTATTTTCAAGCAACAATCTGTACATGTTTTCCAATGTTAACATAGACAGGCAACGACTAAAACAAACTTACATTATTAATATAAATTAATGCGCAAGTTTGCACTTGTAAACATTCATCAGTCATCACGTATAAATGTTAAAAAAAAAATGGTTCCATATTGCGCAATTAGATTAGACCCAATTGATAAAACCACCAAGAAATTTCATGATTATAAGACTAATTAGAGTTTCAACTTTCAAGTCAATAATCCTCCTCCAGAGCGTTTCTCCTCTTTCCCATCTCCTTTTCAGGAGAGGAAAAATTATGTCACATAAAAATAACATCTCCATGCTGAATCCTAATTTAACATATATGTTCAAAATTGGCTAAGATTTAACATCTCAAATCCAGCATCAACTTCAACTCCTTTACCAAGTAACTGCCCAGAAGCTTTCAGCATTTAATCTATTTCTATAATAAGTTCAAATGTTTTAATGATATGAAGTAACATTGAGCCAATGACGTCCAAGCCACAACACCCAGTTACCATATCAACAAGCAGCATATATTCTTCATACTATGGTAAATCCTAGCTTAATAAGGAAAAAATTGAATCAGAGTCAAACATACTCAGTGGCCATAAACCCATCAGTCAATCCACCAATGAACACGACTTGTTGCTTATAATCCCCTGTTTTAAACGCAACCTGCACAACAAAATCACAAGTATCAAGGGCAGAATATCAGCATAAATTTGGCATGGATTGTAACATACATTTAGTACATAAGATTAGAAGGAACAGTTTAGAGTAAAAATGACCTCAGATCAAAACTGGATCATTTTGGTTCTGAATTGGATTAGCTGTGTGATTGGTTTGGGTTAGATTGGGGCATATTCAGGTTTGGTTTACTTCAGATTCATGCTCTTTTAGGTCAGATTGGGTATGGTTCAGGATAACGTATCAACTCAAATAGACATCTACTTGGGTCAATATCAGGGTATCAGATTTGTTTTTGATTAAGATCATTGCTACCTCCTATAATTCAATATCGATATGGGTCAAGTCAATGCTAGATCAAGTGTCAAATGAAGTAAATACTTATCTCGTTTTAATAGGTATGGTCTTTTCTACAGCTCCTATGAAGAATCTAATGAAAAGCTTACATAGTAAAATTAAATGCCCTTATCATAATAGCACAAATATCATGTTTTATAATTAAAATTAACTATCACTTTATTTGTGATAATCCTTATTCTGGCGTCTTGCACCACTATTAACATCATGGACGGTGGTTTTTATGTCTAAAACGGTTGGTAACTGCAATCAATCTCTTGATTCAACAGAGAGGGGTTGGGGTTGGTTGTGACCAATCTAGGATAGGAAGGAAGTGGGAATTATAGGTGGTGTTAAAAAGAAAGATGGAGATAAACAAGAGATGGAGACAATGATGGTTGTGGTCTTGTGGAGGTAGAAAACCCAAAATTTAGAAAATAGGAAGTGAGATGAACAGGTAATTAAGGATAAGGGGGTTTAGGGTAATCTCATCAAACATGTTGTGAAAGTGAAAAAAATAGCAAAGGGAGTGAATTCCCTTTCAATTTTTTGATTACCCCAAAGGCCCAAACAAAACAGGAGTTGAAAACCTTATTAATACATGACCCTTGTAAAGTTGTAATATCCTCTGTTGAGATTATAGCCATGACTGACCCAGAACATTTTACAACAAGGTTGTAGAAAAACATGCCATTAGTACTTCCAACCCAAGCATTCTCACATACCGATACCAGTATCACGTATCCAGGCTACTAACTAGATGTGAGAATAATTATAGCTATTATGGAGATTCCACCAATACTTAGACAAAAAAAATAGTGTTCTATATCCACTTCCCATTGAGCTTACAGATTTGAGAATTAAATTGATAGCTGAAATTTCCATGTAATAATAATAAATGTTTTTGTCATCTAACTCTTTCAGATGTATGATAATATACTACATTAGTTGGTTCATTTGTGGTACACCCATTTTTAATCCAAGATGGCGGAGAAGGCTTACTCATTCTAGATTGAGGTAAAATTTATACGAAATATCTCACAATCTTGAAGAAAACTCAAAACTTTCTCTAGCTTCTAATCTAGATATTGCCCTTCAACTCTTCCCCTCCTCTATATGTATGCTATTCCACAGCTTCACTTTTACATTTTACTTCTAAGAATATGATATAAATAGATATGAGGAGGAGGGGGCATATTAGGCAAATAGGCAGTGTAATTTAATTCAGTCATTAGTGTTTTGAGAAGATTATTGATAGAGTATTTTGGTTAGCTTAGTATTTAGAGAATTAATATCAACCTCTTGATAGTGAAATTATCATATTTTTGCCATGATTCCAGTTCATTAAAAAATATTATCCTTTTCTTTTCTAATTTCTGCTATTGTTGATGCCTACACTATGTTAATTAATAGCAGAATGTTGGAACCTTTGACTATCTACTTGAACTACTTGTTCCTTTTCAACTTTCTCTTCAATGAAATTGTTTTTAACATGAGTTCCTCCATAAACCTCTCTATCCAATACAATCAATTCAAGACAAGTAAGCTTATAAAACAAGAAGAAACACATCTTTTGGGTCAATTGTACATAGGTTTTGATAGCCTACGTCTTTAGCTAATGTCATTCTCAACTGTAGTATGGAAACTTTGCATATTTGTTTTCCAAGAATATATGAAATGTGCATATACATGTTAGACTATCAAGTATTCGCTAAAGCCATAACACTAATGAAGAATTGGAATAACATAACACACCACCGACTAATTGGTTAAAAACATAATACTCCGTAACTCTTTTATATCATAGCAGATTTCCCAAATCCTTCAAACCTCAAAATGAATTCATCTTAGAAATACCAATACCCAATAAACAACTGGTAAGACTATCCATCCAATTCATTTGGTTGATAAACAGACCAATGCTCGGTGATTTAACTCATAAATTGCCCATCAAATCACCATAATACTTTCCCAATCTTTGAAAACCATACCAAACTACTCAAACCCAAAATGATCACAAATCATTTCCCACCCAACTTTCCAACAATCATTAAATCTGAAATCAAATACTAGTACATACCAAATACAACTCTAATACTTGTAACATTTAACTGCTAAGAATAACAAAGATGAAATCCGAATCTTTGACTTCATACTCCCTAGTCCATAACATCCAAACATAATCCCCCATTTTCCTTATAACACCTCACATTCAAATTTCACACCAAATCATCCACAAATCATAATATTGTACACTCCCAATTCATTTAATTGATCCAAAGCAACACACATTTGATCAAACAATCAAGAAACCCAAATCAAACACAAAATCGATCCAATTCCAAACAAATGAAAACAATACAAAGTAAATAAATGAACCTGCATAGACTTGGGACCATAACGAAAGAGAACACCGCGAAACATGTTCTTTTTAATGACAGGACCTAAAGAAGAGGGATTGTCGCCGGCGCCGGAGACGACGGAGACGGAAGGAGGGGCGGTTCTAGAGTTCAAAGCTTTGTCGGAGCGACCGCGAACGATGCCGGAGAACCATGAGGTGCCGGAGGAGGAGGAGGTGGCTGTTGCGGAGGAAGAGGTGGATGGCGAAGAGGTATTCATGCCAACCCAAGTTTAATTGGTGGGTTTTTTGGAAATGGGAGACGCAAAGATTTGATTGGAAAAAACTCAAAATCCATTCATGTTACATTGTTACTGCTAAGTTGTCATGCTGCTGTAACGTGCAGTCCTGATTCATGGTCTCATGGATATGTTTGTAATTTTGTATAACTACTCCAAATAGATAATACGAGTACAAATATTCTATCCGTTTCTAAATTAAAAGTCTAATTTCTTTATTATGTAAGTAGTAAATGCTAAAAAGAGGTTTTGCATTAAGGGGGGGGGGGTGGGGGAGTAATATTTAGTGGCCGGTTTTTTCACGGAAATAAACAAAGTTGTATGGAGAATTTATTATAAAACTAACTAGTTTGATGCTCGAGCGATATTCTGGGTTATGTTTAAATACAAAATGAAAAGTTTACCTTGAGTTTGAATAATATCTTGGATCTATTATTGGTATTTAAAATTAAGGAATTGCATATATTGCTTATAAACCTTTTAAATCTTTAATGAAATGTTACAACGCATGAATGTTAAATTAATTAATTAATAAAGTAACATTAATTGTGAAATAGAAATAACAAATACAGTAGAGTGAAAATAAATTTTATCAAAGTGTAATAATTGTCTACTTGATATAATAGTGGTAATGAAAAGTTGGAAATTCCAAGAGATGTAATAGTTGAAATTCAATTTAAATATTAACATGCGGTGTCATGTCATCATATATGCAGCGCTATGTCATAAATTTCATGATGACATAAGAATGACACATGTCGCAACATCTTAATCCCTTGAATTTTAATATTATTATAGATAGATGATTGAAGGTATAAATAAAAGATGGTAATTATTAAAGAGATGGGGTGATAAAGTGTTGAAAAATGATGTCAAAAGTACAAAAAAATAATATAAAAGGAAATTTTGATTCCAATAATCCAACTTTTGTCTGATCTTTTATTATTATTATTAATCTAACCTTTTGATTATTCACCACTAATCCAAGATTTATACCTCATTCTATTCTATTAGGCCAAATCGGATACTTACCTCTAATAGCAAGTCACCTTGCAATGTGTCACTGTAACACCCCCAAATCTCCCTCCAAGGAAATACCACTATAATATGTATAATTATACCGTAGAGATAGACTTATAAGACGTATTATTGCCGAGTAATCACACAACGCTACCAAAACTACTATCCAAAATCAATACTTTACAGCGGAAACTCAAACTCTTTCTTTATTAATAAATATAAATAGAACCATTTTCATGAGTACTCATAATAAAAACAAAGACCAATATTCCTAATCTAGGTGAAGAACCCGGGACTCCCATATACTCATATATTGACTCCACCTGAAATTAGTCAACATTGTTTAAGGTAAACAAGGCGAACCAAAACAAATAGAAATTACGGATTAGCAAAATATGCTATTTACGATAAGTGCAAAATAAGTAAACTCAATTTATTTGCAAATATGCTTTCAAACCATTCCAATGGTAATCCAATGATTCCAAACTTATAATTCCAAAACCAATTCCAATGATCCAATATTTCAAATAATTAATTAATAAACCAATTCCTCTTCTAAATCCAATACCTCACCCAAGTGTGCACACCCCCTAAGCTAGTTTCCTTATATTGCAAGGCTATTCTTGAGAAAAGACTCGGACATACAAAGTATCGAGTCTTATCAACCAAATTCGCATAGTGGGATTACTATCAACATGCTTGTAAAACTTTGATAACAATAATTCAATTAATCCTTTTTAATTCAACAATTCCAATATAATTCAAAAACTACTTTTTATTTAATTCACCATACTTTCAAAATCAAACCCTTAAAATATGATAAATAATTTTAATTATTCAAAACATGATATAAAATTCAATCCTTCAATTTATTTATTAAAACCAACTATTTAAACATGCTTTTATTTCATAAATTATAATTCAATTTAATCACCAATATAATCATATAAAAACATGTTATTCAAACCAATCACATTCAAATGTATGTAGACACCTAAACGTACCTTTGATCCTTGCTTAGCACACTCGAAAAGAACTTTAAGAAATTGAATCAAACACACCCTACAATTAAACATAACCTTAATTAATATAAGACTAACAAATAATCACAATTACGAACCCCCAACTATATGTACATGAACCTTATAAATTATTTTTTATAAACATAAATAAAAATCTGATTTTATTTAATTAAAGCTACTCATAATAATTTTTATAATACCCCATTGTAATAATAATATTAATTAATTAAGAGAATAGAAGAAGAAAATAAAGGTAGAAAACCAAGGAAAAAGAGGAAGAAGAGGTGGCGGCAAAGGGGCAGCAGCCGTCTGGCAGGTGGCTACTGTGGTGGCGGCGACGCTGGTGTCGGCGACAAGTGGCAGCCGGCGATGGAGGTGGTAGTTGGCTTAAGAACAAGAAAAAGAAGAGAAACAGAATTAGAGAGAAATTAGGAAATTTTATTTAAAACTAACCTAAAGATAGAGTCATTTGTGAACAACTATCCGTTTTTTTATTTGTTTAGAGCTACTCAGAAGTTAAGAAACGTTTGGATAGCACTACCCATTAATGTTTTTCGTCCAATTAAGATGTTATTGGGACTCACTTTTCACTTTTCCCACTTAATTAACTTCCACCAACTACTTTCTATCTCCTCTCTCCTCCCCAATTAAAGTTTTAATTGAATGCAATTAACATAATTAGAGTGTAAATTAGTAATTCACATTAGGGTTTATGAGTTCAAATAAATTTGGGGGTTTTGATTTTTAGGGTTTAGGGGTTCAAATGATTTCTGGGTTTCAGTTATTTTGACTTTGAGATTGAATTCAATTGCATTTTAATCACTAATTGGCCATTGTAATTGGTAGGATGTCTAATTTGTGTATTTACTTCACTCCCCCCCCCCTCATTGTTTTAGTTTCACTCATTTACTTCGAGTTAACAAAAAATTAACAAGATGAGTTGGAAGAAAGAGACGACAAAGAAAAGGCTAATAGAGCTGCCAAATTTTTGAAAAGGAGGTGAAGAGGTGGAGAATCGCTGCTTAAGTCAGAGAATCAAGATTAATTGAACAAGGTGAAAGAAGAGGGTGAGAATGGAGGAAAAGTTAATTAGGGTGAAGAGAGGACTCGGAGGAGAGAGACGGTAGTTGGGTGGACATAATTACGTGGGAAAAGTGAAAAAGTGGGCCCCAGTAATGTTATAATTGGATGGAAAACGTTAATGGGTAGTGTTACTGTAGACACCAAATTGTGTCTCCCCAAAACTAAACCCAGTGATGAATGCTTTTCACATCATTTGATTATCGTATGAAATTAAATGTGAAAGAGTCTCGTGATTCCCTTGTTTTTAATAAAAAATACTTATTTATGTTTTCGAAAATAAATCTTTCTTTTCATACCTTATTTATGAAATATATCCAATCCAATTTAATTTGGTTCATGATATGGGTCCAATAATAGTGTATTTGGATGTAGGAATGGCAACGGATCGGATTTGGGTCGGATGGAGCTCCACCCGCATCCACCCGAATTAACCATCTGCTCCACCCGATCCACCCGTCACCCGCAAAACCCATCACCTGCATCCGATCCATCCGTCATCCGTGGATGAAATGGGTGGATCGGATGCTTAGCGAGTGATAATTATAATCATACTCTAATTATAAAATCTAATACGTTATTAAAAAAAAATGTTAGCCAATTTTAAACTTAAAAAGTAAACCATTGATTAAATTTTTATTCCAAACTATAGCAATAATAATAATAATAATCATGAACTTACTTTTTTTTTTTGAACGGAATCATGAACTTATTTTGGTACTACATAATTGGGAATTGAGGGAGGTTTTATATTTTTTAAAATAAAATTAAAGAATTTTTAGAAAGATTTATTTTTTTAGAAATATACAGTACATACGTAGTGTAGTATACTAGTATATAAGACAATTGGGAATTTTTTTTATATATATACGGATGGACTGCGAATCGGGTGATAAACGGATGACGGATCGGGTGACGGATGAAACGGAGCCCCACCCGAATCCGACCCGATCCGTCATCCGCTTCATCCGTCACCCGCCCTTCATCCATTTAATGCGATTTTTCGTCCATTTATTTATTTCGGGTGGATCGGATTTGCGGATATCCATTTAGAATTGTCATCCCTAGTCGGATGAGGCTTGAAAAGAGCTTTCCAGTGATATATTATAAGCCTAATTCCGGTGAATAATGAGGAAGTTATGACCCAAATATTAATTGGATATTAAATGAGTTTTATGGGCGACTCAATGATCAAGTGGAGGGTCCATTAATTATCATTCCTAAAGTCATTAGGAATTACTTTAATTTTCTAGAATAATCTAAAAGGTTATTTTAAGTTCTAAAGGGATTAAGATTAATAATTATATTTTTATATATTTTCAGAAAAGATGAAGAATTTTAGTTGAAATAAAACAAGTGTTTTAATGAGATTTAATCTGATTTTTAAATGATAAAGTACAAACTTTAATTATTCAATTATATTGGAAAAAGGACTCCGTACGACCAAATATTATCCAGCAGCACCATCGCGCTGCAACAGGTCCATCGCGCCGCGATACGCCTGTCGCGCCGCGATGGGAGTAGTTTTACTTCGATTGAAATTTGATATTCTCTAATCGTTTACAGTTGTTTTTCTCTATAAATAGGGTCATATTTCCCCATTCATCAACAATCAACAATTATCTATTTTACTCTCTCTCTCTCTCTCTCTCTCTCTCTCTCTCTCTCTCTCTCTCTCTCTCTCTCTCTTTAAGCTAAATCTTATTCTTTCTTTATGTCTCTTGATTTCTAAGCCCAGCCTTTGCAAAACACCATTCGGCCATCACGAGACTTAGACACACCTAGCCAAGATAGAAGTTGCTTTCTCCCTAGACGTAAAAGGTTGATAATTTCTGAGGCTTTGGTCCCAAATCCATATTTCAATTATTTAAATTAATTGTTTGGTTTAATATTTTCATTGAATTTACTAACGTATGTATTGTTTTGATAGAAAGAGATACGAGGCAACAAAGTATGTAGTTTTATTGTTATATATCTTTAGAAAGCATGTT